ACAAAAGGATGTCGAAATTGTCCATTTTGACGAGTATTCACGTAAACACAGTTGATTATGTCTTAAGTGAGCGTAAACAGTAGGAAGAACATGTATCAGTGCATTGCATCCATTGCAGCTGTGCGTTCGGCTTTAAAGGGATAGCAGCCTAATTTAGTTGCTGTTGTCCGAGTCATTGATGTTAATCAAGCAACAAATGAAAGACGCACTGCTCTTGACTGAAAAACTTTAGTAGCCCTAAAGATTAATCTAAATTTATTTATGGAAATAAATGTCTGCTTGAAAGAATGAAGAATATGGTTAACAAGTTGCTATAAAGAATGCATAATTAGCCTATATAAGACTATGTTCTTGTTCTTCATGAGAAGTGGTTTTATTTAATTTTAACATAAAGTCATGTGTGTCACCGCAGTTAAATTGGTGTCTATCATGATAAAACCTTAATATCAAACCTATATAATGAGTTTGGAAATTTTTGAGAAATGCTTCATAAATGCACAGTAACTAAACCCCAGTTTTGGGGTTAACGCATTACAAGTAACGCGAGTTACGTAATCAGATTACTTTTTTCAAGTAACTAGTAAAGTAACGCATTACTTTTAAATTTACAAGAGAATATCTGACTTACTTTCTCAAAAAAGTAATGCCAGTTACTTTGTTTTCCCAAGTATTGACTGACAAGTCTCCTGTCCTCATATTGGGAGAAATCGGAAGTACAGAGGAGTTGTGTGCGCTGTGTGAACATGATGTAGTTCTAGACTAAATGTGAATGTGCATTAATTCATCCCACTCGCAAAAAAACAGATTTAGTATTCATCAAAATGAATTAAAACACTGAAATGCAAACTCAGAATATGACGCAAACCTGCAATAATTAAATATGTTAAATAACACAAATGTATCAAATCCCATTTTATTAACTAATGTCTTTGCTGCTGACCTTTGATGATCCAGTTCATCCATACTAATAAGCAAAAAGGACTTTAGATAAACTATCAATTGTGCTTCATTGTTTTTTTTATTTCTGAAGAGTGCTGAACCTTCTTGTGTTCTACTGTACAGACGTGAATTTACTTTTCCTTCAGCCTGTGAAAGATGTGAAATGGCTTTTACATTTGCTATAAATAGAACTTCTTATATTAAAAACAATCAAGCCCTGCTCATATTTAAAAAGTAACGCAAAAGTAACGTAACGCATTACTTTCCATAAAAAGTAACTAAGTAACGTAATTAGTTACTTTTTTAGGGAGTAACGCAATATTGTAATGCATTACTTTTAAAAGTAACTTTCCCCAACACTGCTAAACCCATTATATTTTAGCCGACTAAATTTACTGTAGATTAATCGACTAAAATCTTATGATATTTAGTCGACTAAAACTAGACTAAAACTAAAAACAATTCAGATGACTAAAACTAAATGGCATTTTAGTCAAAAGACTATGACTAAAACTAAATCAAAATTTGCTGTCAAAATTAACATCGGTTCTGAGTATCATATTGAAACATATTTGATCTGATTGTTCCTGAAGCCCCCCCTTTACTGGCTCAGATCAGATGATTATATACACATTCATTCTGAAAGGAATGGAGAAGATGGACTTCCCTAAAAAGATCACCAAGAGGCCCGGTGACCTTATTCGAAAGCTGTGCAGGTATGATCGTGGATCATTTTTAATGTCTTTTACATGTTTTCTGAACCTGTTCAGGTCCCACTGCTATAAATCATAATATGATTTTGCTGTCCTCTTATTTTCATGAAGACAAAACCCTTCAGAGCGACTGGGGAATTTGAAGAATGGAATAACTGATATTAAAAAACACAGGTGAGAGTACAACAGTCACATTCTGGTGCTGTTTGACTAAAGAATGTCCTCAAAAGTTATTTGAAGTACTCATCTCGTACATATGAACAAAATATTAGTCCGAGCATTTTAAAAACAACAGTATGCTTGGTTTTTCACAATGATGGCAGCTCAAATAACCCAAGATCTCTTGATTTACTGTACCACCGAGTCACTCTGAGGATGTTTTAAACAAGTTTCCATCATGTTAGGAAACATTACACTTGCATTTAACATTCTGAAAGCTGGGCATCAATAAACACTATAATAATAATCACCTGCAGTACATAAATTTGACAATGGTGATTTTTGGTGTTTAGATGGTTTACAGGATTTAGCTGGAGTGGTCTGAAATCCAGAAGTCTGATATCACCACTTAAAAGAGAGGTAAAACACACCTACATTACCTGGACAGAGTTTATGTTATAGGAATGTGTCATAAAATGACATATATAATACCGAATATAATAATATATGTACATATTTTTTATTTTACAATCACCAAGGCTGCAATTATTTCATCAAAAACAGTAATATTGTCAAATTATTACAATTTAAAATCATTTAAAAATGTAATTTATTCTTGTGATGGCCAAACTGAATTTTCAGCAGCCATTACTTCAGTCTTCAGCGCCACATGATCCTTCAGAAATCATTCTAAAATGCAGATTTGCTCAAAAAAAGTATTATTGTCGAATAGAGTTGTAATGCTTAATATTTGCGTGGAAACTCTTATTCAGGATTCTTTAATGAATAGAAAAGTTTCAAAGAACAGCAATTTTTTGAGCGTTTATATACTTTTTTGTAACAGTGTAAGAGTCTTGTCGCTTTTGGTCAGTTTAATACATCAAATATTACTGACACTTTTAAACAGTAATGTATCAGAATATTATCTTGTTTTCTCTTTTTCTTTGTTTTCCTCCAGGTGAAGGGACCCACTGACCACAGTTACTTTGACAGTTATCCTCCTGAAGAAGAAATCCCTCCAGATGAAATGTCGGGTTGGGACACAGACTTCTAACTGACCCCTCAGTGCACCCATGTGTGAGTTAAACAAAACTCTTCTCCAACATGCCAGCCTTTCTTCCAAGGAACCTCAGACCATTAAGCCAACAGAAGCAGTGTATGTGCCGCAACAATGGACTCCTTGACCGGAGGCTGCTGTTAGTGCTGTGGGAGGCACAGCAGAGGAGGACAGACATAAGAAGGGAATTGTTTCACCGTGTTCAGATATACTCATACATTGTGATGATAAACATTGCTGTATTTGACTGAAACTGTACCACTGAGATGTCAGAGCAGGATCAGTCTGTGAGAATGATGTAGCCGGGGCATTATAGAGGATAGTGCGAAACCATTGGTAATATTTACCTTTAGAAGTGCAGAAGGGTCAGTGGTTTGTCAAGAAGGTGAGATGTTGCTGGTTATGTCACATATTTGAGCTCCTGAAGGTAATAACCACCTGTGACTGTGAATGCCACTGATGAAGTTTCAAAGGTTAGCAATTCAAGCAGACATATGTGAATAGTATTTTTAGTGACTTTTCCTAGAGCTCTTTCAAGTACTTCAGGTGACCGTAACCTCTGCACCTGTGCCAAATATGTTTGTGTTGATGTAATGCTTGGCGCTTGCTTATTTTATCCTTGTGAATAGGAAAAATGTTTCGTTTTTAGTGTGAGGATTTAGATTTTGTTTAGTCATTCTACAAGCTACTTTGCAGTAATTGTAAATAAAAATGTCAGCTGAAATGTACAGTTTTGTTCCCAGCACTTTTTAAGTTCAGCCGTCAGTGCACACTAGTGATTTGTAAATGAGAATATCTATTAAATAATGGAGTTTGATGTTTGTGTGGTAACTTTCCAGTCCTCATTGACCCATTAAGCCATTTACATCATGTTCCATGATGCAACAGTCTCAACATAATTTTGATTGCATAACAATGCAATCAATATTCAGTAAAGTTGTGCTGGCCGGAGGGCTGAGTCCTTCAATACATGACAGATAACACGTGGCTACATAATTCTTAAAACTTTATTGAGTTTTCTTTGAATGGTCTGCCAAAAGGGCTTCTTTCAACTAAGGAGATGTTACAAAAATAAGCATTCTGTGATTGCTTCCTTTTGCACCCCTGTCTGACCTTTGTGCCGCAAAGCTCCATGAATATTTAAAGAAGCCCCTCTGTGCTTCACAAAATGAAGATACAGAAGGCATCATACAGAAAATAAATAAATGCTTTTAAAGGTCATTTCCATATACAAATATAATTTCTTATGAAGCTTATAATACAAAGCACATCCTTTCACCTACATCATAACATTTACAAAACGCAGTGTGGTGGAAGCCTTCCAAAAAATATATTACACAAATCCTAAAGGAGTGCTTTACATAGTGTTTCTTGATGTATGTGTTATATATTAAGATAATAGCCCACTTTTACATATATGTGTACATTTCTCTGTTGTCCATAGGTTGACTTTACATCAACAAAAACTCCAACTTGGATGCACGCCGTTTATGAACATGCAGCTTACGATATGTCATTGCTTTAGTTCTATGCTAATTTCAGAGTAAAAACAGAACAAAATGTATCATTACAGAACAGAACAGATATCATTATTGGAACAAATGATCACATTTTATCAAAATAAACGGGTAGACTTAAAATGTTCTGCCAAAATAAAACATTACATAAGTTACACTCATCTTTGTGAAATAGAAATATTCTAGAAGATGAAACTTTTTAATGTGTTAAGGCACTTTATATAGGCGTTGTTATGTTAAAGAGACAAAGGCTTAATATAATCTACATAATCTTCCTGAACATATCATCTGAAACATTTCTCATTTTGAAATCTATTTGCAGTTTTCAGAGGAACAGCAGAAAAGTTTTTCACGTGAACAAAACTGAAACAGAACGCGTGCATATACGTTATGAATTTGGCTAAATGTGAGGATTCAACTTGTATTAGTAGGTCAGATGGAAACATGATTGAACATATTTACAATTGCAAGTAAAAAAAGCCTGACTAAACAAAATTATGTTTACAAAATGTGATGTAATACTATTACATGTAAGCTCGTAACAATGCACATTTTTGGAGAAAATAAATATATATATTTTCTGAAGATTAAAGACATTCAATACAGAGTCACCCAGAAATTAAACACTGTTTTAAGCTTAATGTGGAAAACTGAATATGTAACTTATATAGGTAATCATTTTAATAGAAATCTTTTTTTTCTTTCTCTTTTTTTTCCCCAAAAGTCCTCTTTTCAGCACATTTGGGCTCTGGAGTAAAGTCTACCTTGGTATAGCAGCCATAGAATATGAACAATGAGAGTCAATCAATGCCTCTGTAGCAAAAATATAGCTATAATAATGACAGATCGTACAAACTGTACAGAAACATGATGGATGACAGCAAATGTTTGTCCCCTGTATGCTTAACTGCTGAGGTTATAGAAACATGAGAACTTCCTGCTCAAACGCAGACAGACAGTCTCTTCATATGCTTAAATCTCTAGTGATGCATGAAGCCTCCTGATAACAGTAATGAATTCCTAATGGAAAAGCACTTTGCTCTTCACAATCCTTAAAGCTGGAGATAGTTCTTCAAGGGTTATGAAACGAACATCTTCAGTCTTTCTTCCAGTGCAAAAATTGGGAATCGGTTTAAGGGAGGGAGGCTGTGAAAGAGACCGAAGCGTTTACCGACAGGCACAGGAGTCCACTGTCATATTGGGGTAGACCTTGAGGACCACGTTCTTGTCTTCATCAAAGAAGAGGATGCTGAGGGAAGACATCTTCTCCGGTACACAGCAGGGCTCTGGGATGCCCGGGACCACCCCCACCGCCCGCACGATGCTCTGAATGGTGGCGTGGTTTGAAGGTTTCAAAGACTGGAGGAGGTCAAAAGTGCAAGAGGTTAGACATTTTTCAGAACCTGTTACTGGGTTTAGGACAGTACAGTTTGTTTTTGATAAACCAGTCAAAAGCACTACAACACTAAAGGGTGAAAAAGAAGTAAAACATCGTAGATTCATGGATTCATGCAAATCCAGCCATGTTCCAATGTCTGTGAAAAGAAACTTGCTCAGAATCATTTGAAGAGCAAAGCAAGCCTGATAAAAAAGCCATATTAAAAATAGCTAAAATAAATAAAGATTAAATGAAATCAAATGTAAATAGTAGAAAAAACATAAACTTAATGAAAATGAGAAATGTTGGTGCTTTTGCAAGCAACTGAAAATAAGTACTAAAATTACTAAAACTATAAATACATTTTTAAATAAAATGAAAATAAAAAAGACAAACTAACTAAAACAAACAAAAACATAAACTGTATAAAAAAACATTGGTAATGCACCAATGTTACAATTCTGGCCAATAACCAATAAATTGTAGATATTAAAATGCTATACTATTTTATCTAAATCAATTAGTTATAAAACACTAAAAATCTACAATTTTTAAAGCTAAAAGTGAATTTAGCCATTATAATATGATATGATAAATAAATGGATAATTGATAAATGGATAATTGTTTTGAGATTTGCTAAAGATGACATTTAACAGTCTTATATTATTAGGCTTTTTAAAGACGAACTTTAAGTGAATGTTAATCAGAAGAAAAATGGGCATGCACTATTAAACCCACTGACACTGATAATTAAAACTTTAATATCTAATTTATCTGATATGGAACTGATACATTGCACATCCCTAATTTGCTAAAACAAGATCAAATCCATTCTTATCTGAAGGGATGGTAAGGGGTTTATCCACATACATTTTAGAATATGAAACAAATGAATCTTATAATCAGCTTTACAACATAAACATAAACTTCAGTAAACTGCCACATTACTGAAGTAAATTAGACTTTGTGTTTCTTTAAATCCATTGGTAGCAACATCTCAAAGTGGCAATGGGAAGGTTTTGGGATGAAGAATGACAAATGGTGTGATAATGGAAGTTTAATGAACTGCTGTGTTGCCCACAGTGTCAGCTGAATGATTTACAGCTGTTCTCCTGACTGCCACTAGGTGGTGCTTATAAATCACTTGCCTTCATGCCTGTCTCTGTCCTTTTCCCCGCTGCTTTGCTTATTCACTTCTCAAGTAGATTGTCTCACAACAAATTAGAGTTGCGCTAGTTAACTAAATGGGTGCTTCATTTTAAAACTCATCCAGCTAACTTTCTACAAAAAATGTGTGGAACCATAATTAAACAATGTACCTTTGGCATGGGGAACTGACATGACCCCGAGCAGTAGTATGCATCAAAAGACTTGGGGGAGATAATCCACTCGCTCCAGCCGATATCTGCAAAGTCAACCTTTAAATATCTGCGAGCACAGTTCTTCGGCTCGTTCCACTGCTTCTTACGTGCTTTCTTAATGGTCTGCTCATCGAACTGCAGGAGAGGGTTCTTGAGCCGTGGATTCTTGCGAGGCTTCTTGCGAGGGCTCTTGACTGGTTTACTCTCCACTGGATCATAAGGGCTGGTCTCATCCCATGTAGGTATCTCATAAGGGTACTCTGGGCCTGGAAGCTCATTGTTCTGTAGCGGCAGCAAGATGTTGGCGGACCGCTTGGTCCGATGTTGTGAGGAGGCACTGCGATTATGTATTTCGAGCATATGAAGATTAGGCACCAGTCTGCTTTTGTGTCTCTGCAGGGTGGACACGACACTCTCAGGCTCTGAGATAGCCGAGTCATTTGCGTAGACCAGAATGTAAGGAGACCTATCTGACAAGAGTTTCTTCCAAGGATGATGTCCTTTTGAGTCAATGTCAATGCCTATGAGAAGCTGGTCGTGTCGCTTGGCTTGGTTGACTACACGAGTAATGTCTTTCCACTGCCATGATATGAAGTCCCGGTACATTGTGGAGATGTTAATGGAGAAATGGCCGATTGTTCTGGTGGTGTTATCCACAAAGCTGAAGCTCCAGACATCAAGGTGAATATGACCTTGTCTTCTGAGGTTATGGTGAGCGCAACTTTTGTGCCTTGTGCATCTGTGGCTGCTGTTCTGCAGGTCGCCAATGTAGTAGTGCAGCGTTGCTGAGAGAACGTCCTCAGACTTAGAGAGGGAAGTGAGGTTGAAGATCTGTAACTGCTTATTATTGATGGTCCCTAATAAGAAAAAACAAGCAAACAATTCAAAAAAAGCATTGCATCACTATCACTCTTCATCTGAAACTCATATTTCAGAAGACAAACTTTGTCTGTGGATTTGTCATTGACATATGACCACTGAGTTTTAATAAAGATGAGTTCGAAATCATGTCTTATGACAAGCGTATTAAGACCAGAACAGAACACTAGGGGGCGGTATGAGTGCAGGACTGTGCTGCCATGTCCACTAGTCAAAAGAAACTGTGGGCTTGTTATTTTTTCAGACTCTCATAAATGTGGAAATTCGCGTGTTGCGCTTTTGGGTGGATTTTTTTCGAACTATGTACGAACAATCTCTAAAACCTAAGTTGCACTCTACATAATGCCATTAATAATCCTTCACCATTTAGTTATCCGTAAATGTGCACGAACAAGATTTATTCCGTGATTTAGATTGCTAGGTTATTTTCATTATTTCACAATACTATTGCGGTGTGGAAAGCCGCTTGATTCGAGCTTGTTTTGATGAGAGATCTGGCAACACTGGCGCAGTGTGACTATCATACGAGCGCCTCAGCGTGAGCAAAGAAGCGCACTTCTCAGCACGAGCGAAAAGTTCTAGAAGTCATTTAGAAAAGGTATATTAAAAGTACATTTTATTTAAAAACAACAGAACAGTATCAAAATCGTTGAATCCACTTGCAAAACATCAAGACTCGTTTTACAATCAACGAGCAACACCTCCGATGTTGGCTCATTACGTTTATCGACATCTAATAACATCCGTTTTAAAGCCTTAAAACTAACGTCTAAAAAGATTTATGAAACGCTATACGATAAGCTATTCACCTCGAGCTGCTGTCTCACGCAAATCAACAGGTGTAATTGCACCAACCGCAACACAAGCTGTTACAGAGTTACTTTAAGCTGTTATTATTTATATATACAGGAGAAGTTATGGACTGACTGACAGCATCAGTCATTTTCATATATGGAAAAAAATATGCATTTTAAAGTGAATGTAAGCATGCTGTCACGCATCAAGCACTTTTTGGCGTTTTATGGGAAAAAGTACATTTTGATAAAAGCAATAAGGTGAGTAAATGAGAGATTTTCATTTTTGGGTGAACTTTCCCTTTAAGAGATCAAGCTCAAAATTAATAAACACACCAACACTTTAACTAAATTGGGCTAAGAGAAAAGGTGAGGTGGTATTAACGACTCCATTACTTCATTTAGTCTTTTACTGTGAAATGAACTTAACACCTACCCAAATGCCCTTTGAAGCTGCGGACAGTGTTCCCATCTTTGAGAGGGAATCCCGCACTGGTGTATTTGGCGTAGAGCATCTGCATGTGTTCTGACAGCGTGTCCTGCTCGCTTTTCTTTGCATGTTGCTTATCTTGCGCCTCCACTTTTTGTCCAAATTGCACGTCTTTTGAGAAACCCATGAAGGGTGCTTTAAGCACAGCACAGTATCCACAGCACAGATAACCCCATCCCAACAGGAGGATAAACAGTCGTTGACAGCGATCCATGCTGGAGGTACGGGACTGTTGAAGCTGATCTAGGTGTAATATATCAGTGCTGAATGCGTTTCCAAACTCTTGTCTCTTGAGAGGGAGAGCATCACATGGACCCCCAAAATAAGGCAAAGACAGCGAGAAAAAGAAGGGGGAAATTTAAACAAGATGTCACTTTGTTGTACTCAAAATAGTCCAAATGCAAGTTTCCAAAGATCGACGTTCCTGCAGCAGATATCACAGTCCCTGTGCAAAATGTGCGAGGATGTCCGTGTGAGTTTGATCTGCTGTAGTCCTGATGGTCAGGCTTGATCCTCGGTTTTGTGTCTGAGCGTTGCTGTTCTCAGCCAATCGCGCCTCTTCCCTGCGTTCATTGAAGGTTAAGCTTGTTGCGCTAGTAATATATGGGGGCTTATGGTTGCAGTCGGAGTGTTGGGAATCCGACTGATTTCCGCGAATCGGTTCTTTTGAACGGTTCGTTTCAAATAACCGGTTCACTGAACAGACTGTGCTGTTACGTCACCACGCGTTCCCTAACATCCCTCTCTTTGTACTAGTTTTAAGAACGTTTATTATAAGCACTGCTCACATTGTTGAAGTTATGATTCAGCTCACAAATCCACTTGGCGACTATTCATGTAATTTGCATTTACACTAAACTCTACTAAAGTTGATTCACATCACTTGGTTGAAATAGTTTTGTGCGTTTAATAACTCTGTTTCAAATGCCTATCAATAAAACGGTCATACAATCAATTCTAAACGTCTATAGGCTACACAATATTTCAATTTTGATATTTAGATAATGAAGTAGTCGTAGTAGTAGGCTATTCACACCATTGGTCAAGGTTCTCGGTTCAATGATTCGGTTGTCAACTGCGAGTCGGACTTGTTCAAAAGATCCACTTTGACCGACTCGGCTAGGGAACCGTTCTTATTTATTCAGTCCAATTCAAGAACGAATCGTTTAGACCGTTTTTGTGATCCTTATGAAGTGATTTAATGAAAAGGTCCGATTCGTTTAATAACTCTTTTTTACAAAGAGCTCGAATGCGTGAGGAAAGTTTACGTGACAAAAAGAAAGAATAATAGAGGAATAACTATTTTTTTGCGATATATAGGCTACCACACTGAAAATAGCTACACGACGTGGAAAATACCTTCTTTATCGTCTTAGGGCACGTTTGGGGCATCAAAACAAACGTTTACGTCTTCGTCGCACACTATGCACGCTCTCAGCTGTCTCTATGAGTAATGTGGATCTGTGTTGTAATGCTCGACAGTGAGATCCGTGAAACGTCTCTCAGCAAAGCTTGTGTGTCTGGGCTGATGCACTGAATGACATGGCTTATGGGGAGCATTAAAGGCTCTCTGTCCCATTTAGCTGAGCTCAATGGCGATGAGCAGACACATCCTGCACAGCGGAGTCTGATCCGGATGCTGCACCGCGCGTCCCCTCCGCACACTAGTGCACGGCTTCAATATCCTCTGTCACGGTCTCGCTTTCAGGATCACTGAGGAGGAAGTGATTGACTCCCACCCCAGACATCTGATGCCAGTGGACATATTTTCAAGACATGGTTTTGTCAGATCTGTACTCGAGGTGTAATTGCTGTAGTTGAGAAAATATGTGGCCTGCCTCAGTAACCTATATTTATCATGTTTTATTTCCCACCAAACTCTGGAAGTCCACTTTAGGATAAGAACCCAGATTTTCACAAGCACATCTGCTATGTTGATTTGTAGGTGTTTGAATGAGCTGTGTCGTTGTGAGGGACTGGAGTAGGCAGTTTCATCACACTTCCACTCCACCACATGAATAAGGACCGTGGCCTGTTAAGTTAAACAGTTATGAATGTGGGTGAATCACCACCCACTTCTCCAGCCTTCATCCTGGTGATTAAACAGAAACTTTATGTAGCTATATACACTTTTTATTCTGTCAGATTGATTGTAATATTTTGTATTGCAGATATGTGGGAGACTATGAGTGTGTTATTAGTATAATCATATATCATTATTTTATTTATTTATATATATATAAAAAAAACGTCCTGCGTTAACTCCCTGAACTGAAAAATTAATTAGTTATTAATAAAGGTACTAACAATATATTGTTATAAATATATACACTAATATACAAAGGTTTAAGGTCAGTAAGTGTCTTTTTCAGCAATTGTGCATTAAATTGAAAGTCACAGTATAGACATTTAGAATGTTACAAAATATTTGTATTCAAATAAGTGCTGTTCTTTTTTCTTTTTTTTTTAACTTGTTTTCAACATCAAACAAAACATAACAAAACACTGTCAACTGTGAAAATAAAAATGCCAGAGCAGCAAATCACCATATTAGATATGAGTTCTGAAAGATCATGTGACATTAAAGATTGGAGTAATGGCTTCTGAAAATTCAGCTTTGCCATCACAGGAATAAATCGCATTTTAAAATATATTTTAAAATGTAATAATATTTCAGTGTTACTGTTTTTACTGTATTTTGTGTAAATAAATACAGCCTTGGACAGCATTAGAGACTTCTTTCAAAAACATCTTACTGGCCCCAAACATTTGAATGGTAATGTAATACTAACACAAAAACAAAATAAGAAATCTAAGCAGTAAATTTGTATAGATTCGGTCACTGTTTGTTTCAGCGACTGTCTGTTTGCATATTCAGTGTAGCGTGGATTAAAGCTGCTCTTTTTGCCATTTGTTTAACTTCCGTAGTGTGATTTTTCTATCTGTTAATTAGCCCTTTATCCAGAATTTGGCCAAAAACTAGAGTGAACTGGAACCATTCAAGTACCATGATGGCCACCATGAGCCACCACCATAGCAATATCTTGCTGACTCCTTTTTGTAAACTCGCAAAGACAAAATTATTGACTGATGGATATCTAATTCCGGAACTCTCTGCAGTATCTCATGATCTGAAATCATGTGGAATGGGTGTCGTTGTCCATTTCATGGAGTGTTTGGCAGCTTTTAGACAAAATGAAGCTACAAGCAGTCATGCGGGGACATGAAAGAACCCCCATCTTTCTAAAGGGCTTTATCTTTGATTTGTTCAGACAAACAGAGGAGTTGTTTTAGATAAGAGTACAATACTAAGCTCAGGTTTCCAAGTAAGTGACTGCATCATCAGACAGTCTCTGAGAGTCCTGTCACTAAGTGCCTCAAATGTGTGATTGTAGATGATAAATATTTGAAAATGGCCACAGTGATTAATAAAAAATAAAAATAACAACACATAAAAGAAATCAGTATTTTTTTATTCAGACACTGTTAAATGACTATTGACCCTAAAGATCCAAATGCAGTGCTTATGCCATTCTACGCATCCAGATGTTGTGCACAATATGAAGTCAGAAATATATAAGATTAAAACTGCTTTAATGTAGATGAAATTAGAGGCTCCAAGTGCTTTTTAATACATTTAATTGGAGAGCGGTGCACAGGAACTGGTTGCGGGTTTTCTGGTGACGTGGTCATAAATGACAACATGCACATATAGGTCACATTGGACAGGAGTTCGGACGGAGCTATCGCCAGGTGCTGCCTGTTGGGTTAGAGATATAATAATTAGGATTAAACTGATTGAAGTGTTTAAAAAAATGTGAACAGTTTTATTTATTGGATCGTTTTTGGTATGTCAGATCAAATTTATTGCAACAGAAGAAAGTACTTCATAACTGTTTTTTCCCCATAATGGATGAAAACTACTTTGCTAAAGTCTCAATCTGTTACATACAAGTTCTACTTAGAGGAGACAAACATTATTCACTGCATATTGTCAACTCTACTGATCTTATACAGACATTGTGTTACTTATTTAATGATATTCAATTAATATATTCAATAATGTAGTTCAATTTCTATTTATAGTACTAAAGTAGATGAAAAATACATGTATAAATTTAGTATAAATGTGTTTTGATGTTTAAACATCAGTCTGGGTGTGACTTTAAAATATGGACTCCATAGGGTGCCTCCACCAAGAATAAATAAGATCTTAAGCCAGCTGGGATCTGTTATTAAAGGGTAACTGTCAGAAGATTTAGGTTTACATTCATTCTATGTATTTACTGTACATTTTGTCTGGGCTAACATACACATTTTGTTTAGAGCAAGGATAAATGCAAACATATGCTGAACATTCCCAAAAAATAAAATAAAGCAAACGAAAAGCATTAGCTGTTGATTTATAAGGACTGGTTATCAAACTAAACCACCAACTGCTACTTTGGAGGGATAACCAACATATTTTCATCAAATGCGAACATAACCCAAAGAAGAAGAATTTGGGTTTATAATTTTGAAACGTTCACAACATTGGCTATATCTAATGGGGCGATAAAACAAACAAACAAATCAAATTCAGGGTTTAATATGTCACAATTCCGCCAGTTTGTATGAAGGAATGCATCCACATGGGCAATGAGGTCATGCCTGGTGGGGGCCTGAGGTTGGATTCTGGGTGCTCGGGCGGTTTCAGTGTCTGGGTTCCTTAGCCTCCTCTCGTTTTTAATAGCCGGCCTGGTCGGGGTGTGCTCGACCACAGGCAATACTCGCCTCTGCCATCTCGCCCTCAATGAGGCAGCCTGGGTGAGTTTGTGTTCAAAGAGGCCAGTCTGCAGCGTTGCCTCTTTTTCAAAATAGCATGCACTCATAGCTCCTGGGCACACAGGCAAAAAAACAGTGGCACAGGTTCCAGGACCAAATTTCGCGGTTCCTTCTAACCCACTCTGATGGATATTTCCAGAGATTGGGACAATAATGCTACCCAGTTGCAACAATACTATCTTTCCACTTCACACGGAAGCTATTTGATATCACGCCAGAAGGGTTTCAAAAAGACTTGAAAATGCATGAACATTTCTGCATGATTATCTGCCATAATCAACTGATTAGGAACTGCATCGAAAAGGAGTAGTATTGGAAATTATACTATGTTCCTTTGTAAATCGTATTTCGGTCTTGAGTTATTCATTAAACAAATACTCAGCTTAACATAGTTCAGGTGTTCATTTACTCATGGATGTTAAATGAGAGCTGAGAGAGGTCAGCACTCTCTGTTTACTAGTGTCTGCTGAGATCAAACATGCTCACCTCTGGGTCAACATTCAAGGTTTTCCTGTCGTTCTTGCACTTGAAGAGCAGGCCGCTTGGATTCTCTGTGATTACCTCATAGTTTGAGCTGGCATTATGTTTGGCCACCTGTGTTCCCCAGTTGTAGAAGCTGAAGATAAAGTTAGGGTTAATAAGTTTATAATGGTCTAAAGATAATAAAATGCATGCTTCAAAGGTGTTGACAAAAACTCTACAGTGATGGATGAATGGCTTTAGTGAATATAATGTAGTATATAAACTACAGTTAAAAAAAAGAAAGAAAGAAAAGTTTTTTCACCTGACAAAATGTCAGGATGTGTCTTGTGTGCTTTTGACAAAAAAGATGAAATAACACATTTGTTCCCAGTTTGATAAAAGGTGCGCTTGGAAAGCCAGGTGTTAAGTTGTATAAGGAATTCAATCTGTTCAATGTTTTAGAATCAGTGCCATTAATTTTGTTTCTCTATTCTAGATCTACACTACTGATACAAGTGGAAGACAATAGTACAATTATGCTCTTGACATCCACAAAATTACAAGTGAGGGTTGCTTTCTAAAACACCTTTATGGAAAATGACTGAAAACAACTTCAATGGCTGGAGAACGTATTCAATTAAAAGAAAGGAAACAAAGCACCATTATATTTTAACTGTAGAGAGTAAATCTAATGGGGAAATGTATTAAAGGTACAGCTATTAAATGTATTAAGCACAAATTACAAGACATCAGGATTTTTCTGTGTGAGAAAGTATCAGAAATGCAGGGTTTTACTTTTTAACGAACTAAGGACTAAAACACTGTGTACTGTAAATGTAAAACATGTTTAAGATTTTTATATTTTGTCACTCTAAGAAAAAAATAGGACACTATGTACTGTGTAAATAAGAAAAAAATTCTGTATTGATTTTTCACAGGTGTTTTACCTGAATTACACATTGCATTGTGTTGTTTTAGGGTTAAAGGAAATGTCCATAAACGTAACAGATAATGTCCTGGCAAAAAATTACCAGTGCCTTTTCTGTATATTTTTTATTACAGTGTACGTGCTTACATTTTTCATGTGAATTCTTAAAGGGAAGGTTTGTTACTTGGAAAGTTAGCCATTTTACTGTTTTAGCCTTTGGCATGCTTGTTGGACAGAACTTTCATTAACATATCAGTTTTCCTCTAACTGAACACAGAGACACTTGGATATTTATTTGAATATGTTCAAGAATAGATGTCCAGCTTCAAAAATCTATGTTCACACATGAGCTTCTACAAAGCTTTCAAGACATTCCAGGCTAAAGGGAAAAAAACACTTTCTCATAGCTACAACCAAAAGATTCCTCTGTCTGCACTGATCAATGTAAAGATTGAGACCCAGCAGGCCACTCAAAATGGCAGTGGGAATTGATCTAAATGTAATTAACGCACGCAATGAGCAATAATGGAAAAAAGAGACTGTCTGGCCCGTGTTAGTGGTTCTCATCACAAGCTCAACTGCTGGAAGACAGCTGCTTTGCAGAAACACCAATTCCAAATGTCACACTCGGGGGCAGCGAGGCTTGCTCAAATGGACCTCAGCTTTTCCCAAGCAGTAGTTTGTGGTCCAAGAACAAAGCTGGACTTTGGGGAGAGGCTCTTTATAAGTCCAAGGGAGAGGCACATGGATGCAAGAGCATTTCATTCTCTGTCATGATAACACTGTGGACATCAGCCAAAGCTTTATACATTTTGCACTGCTGCAATGCTACTACTAAAACATTTTACAGATGCTGTTTATAAGAAGTTATGACCTTAACTTCAAGGATATAAATCATTGCCTTTTGGGACACGATCCTCCTTCAGTTGATTTAAAGCTATGGAAGATTTAGTTCAGTAGCAATCCCTGGTGCAGTATAAAGACACTTGGACATTTGGACATTGAACTATCTAATAAATAACTAATATGTCTATTAACTAAATCATGGATTAATGTCATTGTGGTGTCAAGTATTTAAACAAATTACACATATGTTCTGAGTCCTAAAACCACCGGAAGATGGTTGCGCTGGATCAGCTCTTCTTTACACACCCAATGTAAGAAAATCTAACAAAAGCGATTTAAGCCCATTTTTTTCAGTGCTCTGCAGGCCCATCCTATGGCTGTACCATCTTGAAAGAACTCCAGTTTATCATAATTTAGTACATATGGCTCTGTGTGTAAGAGAGAGCACGCATGATGGAAAGACACCTCACACTTCCCTGTCCGCTACAGTATTTCCTGTCAAGGTGAGCAGAAACCATGGTGCTGGTCACCAAAGCAAACAAAAGAGAGCTTGAAATGAAAATACTGGCTAATAAGACGTAAACAAAAAGTAATGGTCTGAATTAAACATTCTCACAGGGTCTGAGCTTGCCATTTTACATCACAGGAAAGACTTCCTTTGGTTGCCATCGGAGTGAGTGCCATCACGTAAACATGGCAGACCCTCACAAAGAGCCAGATTCTGTGGAGAAATACAGTGATGCATGAAATGACAAGTTTAGCTCTTGCTCTGTTTGCTTTTGGATCAAACTTTCTAATCCTATATAGATTGATCTTCACAAAAAATATATGCAGACTTAGAAGTAAGAATGCATATTCACTTCCTCCTTTTCAAAATAAGGTTTGACAGCATTTTCTGTGTCTATTTATACTGAAACGCCATATAGCAATTAGCATTTTTGGGTTGACCACTTTTATGCAATGGTGAACCACTTACTTTTGGTCGAAGAAACAGGACAGATGTGAGATATTTTAACAGAAAGCATGAAAAGATGGGCAGGAAAATGCTCCAAAGCCTTTACATTTTTAAGTCAGAGGAAGCTCGAAGACCGGCTGGGCTTTCTGAGCATTTGGTCTATTCGTTTTGTGATTGAAAACGCATGAGTGCCGCAACACATGTGATTTGAACATATTCTTTGCCACTTTTGGTCCCTTTTTGTCCCTGCAGAGATGTCACCCGGTAACATGAAATGCTTAATATTCATAGCACAGCTGAATGGCACCCCACCCACACTAACTTACAAAAGTGTGAAAGACCTGGGCTTTGTGGAAACAATTATTGTGCCGTTAATAACAGGTCTGCGTCTTTACCATTACACTACACAACACTGACAGAGAAAAGGATGTTTGTGTACTTCAGTGCTCCATGGTTACCAAACTAAAGCCTGATGGAGAGTTTTAAGAGTGTTTTAAAAATCCACCAGCTGTAACTCTATGGATCAAGGAGAAAGAGAATAGTCTGGCTGGTAACCTAGAATTAGTGAGAAATCTGTAAAGGTGCTGCTTTGAGTCAATACAACCAAAGAAATCAGTCTTCTTTAAAGAGGGTAAATTATCTATCTATCCACCTTTCCAGCTATGACTTTCCTTCTGTATTACTAAAGGTTTGGTGATTGTCCTCAGCTGGTGGCCATGACTTTTGTACTTTTTATTTTTGTGGTGAGGCAGTCAAAGTCTGTCAGCTGTAGTGTGGATTCATGCATCTGTACGGGAAGAACACAGCATCTGCTCCATCTTAGTGGCAACCACAAGCACTGCCTGTTATTGTTCCCGTGAGAAGGATGGTGGAGGAAAGAGAGAACAGAGAGAGAGAGAGAGAGAGAGAGAGAGGGACTAAAACAGAAATAGGGAGAGAAAGAGAGATGGGGCTGAGAGTAAGAGGAAATGAGAATGCTTATGCTGTAGTGTACTTCCTTTACTTACCCTGATTAGATCATGTGCTGTAGCAGTTAAGATGTGGATATACAAACACAAACATGCCTGGCTATACTTGCATACTGGATATACCAGCTTTAAATGTCTTAAAAACCCATTATTATTACATTTAGTTTAATCTTACATATATGTATGGCTGTTTTACTGTGTTTACATATTGTTTATTTATTTGGGGTTCATCATATTTTTTTATTTATAAATATATGTACATCTACACTATGTCATTCAAAAGTATGAGTTTAGACGTTTTTATGTTTTTAAAATGTTTTATGTTTGATAAAAGTACAGTAATAAAAAAACAGTGCTATTGTGAATTTTATTACAATTGTAAATACATTTTCAATGTTAATATAAATGTAATTTATTCCGGTAAGGGCACAGCTGAGTTTTCATCAGCCATTACTCCAGTCTTCAGTATCACATGATCCTTCAGAAATCATCCTAATATGTTGATTTGATTATAAAATAACGTTTCTTTATTTTTATCAGTTGAAAATTGTAGTGCTACCTAATGCTTTCTGCTTGTGTTCTTACAGTGTTTGTTGTTTCAAGATTCTTTGATGAACAGAAAGTTTAAAGAACAGCATTTATTTGAAACAGACAGTTTTGTAACATTATAAATGTTACAAAATTACTGTCATTGTGATGCATCTTTGTTGAATAAGCATACATTTCTCCTAAAAAATGGCACTGACCCCAAACTTTTTAAATAGTGTAGTATATTTATCCTGTAATATATTTCAGATGCTTGCTTTTATTAATCTCAAATTAATCTCAAACAAACTGCTCTTAAAGGAAATCTCTATGAAGATCAGTGATGCTTTCTTTTTGGATGGCTATGACTTCCTAACTTGGTTTACAGAGGATCACTATTTGACTAATATTAATATTAGAGGATGAAAAAGGCATCATTCATAACGTACACACTCCCCTTTAATGCACTGTCCAGGGCAAAAAGATGCCTTCTCTTCCTCCATTATGAACAGGAAGTCTGTTTTGCTTTCACTGCATTACTTGCATATTGATATTTTGGAGAGGATATCCTTTTTAGAAAGACAAATGCTTCAGGGATCAAAGGATGCATGCACATTAATCTGAGAACATCTAACTTTGAGATGTTCAGTAGCACATCTACTAAAACAATAGTAACCGGAAATCATCATGGATGGGTCATAATATATGTAGGCTTACCTTAAGTCAGTTGGTTTTGGCATAAGCCTTTTCTTTCCGCTGAAATATGGTTCAAAGTCTTCAGATTTTAGTCGGTGGGAGTAGTCTATATACCCAGATATTTCCTGTCCGTGAGAATTTCGGTCCCTTATGAAAATGATGGACTGCAAGAAAAACAGGAGGACATACTGTAAAAATAATCTGGAGTGCAGTATGCTATACAGACAAACTAGACAAAGGAGAGATATAAATAATTGCAATAGGGAAGATTCTGTTACAAATGCACCTTTAATAAAATTGTGTAACAGTCCATATCATGAATCAGATTTCAACAAAAAGTCTCTTTTAGAATGGAAGACAGGAACTCTGCACACTTCAGAGTTCAGTCAGCAGTTGTTTTGTCTGGATGCTAATGATGAAAGAATAACTTCCAACCACATCTGCTGTGAAGAGGATCTTTGTTTTGGCTTGTCTGTTTACCTCTAAGAGACAGAGTCACACTTCTTTTGTGAAATCATCCTTTTTGATAGCATAGTCAATGATATCACATTTGTATTTCTATCAGATCCCTGGCCATCTGTGGTTTTCCCTTACATGTGCAGGATAAAAGTGAGATAACTAGCACTGCAGACTTGAAAAGGAACGGTCCTCTTTTAGATGCTTTAAACAGATGCTATCGGGTTCACAGCTGGCCAGGGGCTGATCCAGCTACCTTATCTGTGGCTTTTGCGCTCCCCCATCAGTCTTGAAAAGAAATCATCAGGCAAAGGTGAGGAATTACAGTGGGCAGAGCAAGGATTGGAGATCGTCTTTTGATTGCAGAAGAGGAATCAAAACCCTCTAGCCCACAGTCATCCAACGGCAGAAAGGTTTCCTCTCGCCCTCATAAGTCCACAGGCCAAGTGATAAAAACAGATCTGTGGAACTGACTGTTTCCCGTAGTCCAACAGAACAGGTGTTGTACCTTCAAGAAGTTCCCCTTTTACTGTATCTGATAAAGAAACAGCCTCTTACGAGAAAACATTATTTACAGACTATGTCAGTAACGAATGAACTGTACTGATATTACAAACTATTTGTAGAAGTCTACTTCGCCAACACGACACAAAACTACAATCTTCATACAATCAACATTAATAGGGATTCACAATGTTTTGGCACCATGCCTATTTTTGATATTAGATTTTTTTATTTATTTTACTAAACAATTTATTTTAACTTTCATTTTTTAATAATTTACTTAGACAAAATAGCAAGCAATACCCAAACGCTTGGAACTCTTATGTGTCACAAAGGATGCATTTATTTGATCAAAAATACAGTAAAAACAATAATATTGTGAAATATTATTACAATTTAAAATAATATTGTGAAATATTATTACAATTTAAAATAAAAATGTTTTATTCATTTTAATATATTTTAACTTAATATATTTTAGTAATTTATTCCCATGATGGACAGGCTTAATTTTCTGCAGCCATTACTTCAGTCATCAGTGTCACATGATCCTTCAGAAATCATTTTATTTGGTGCTCAAGCAAAATTCATCAACGTTGAAAAGAGCTGTGCTGCTTAATATTTTTGTGAAAACGGTGACACCTTTTTTTAGGCTTTTGATCAACCTAATGTATCCTAGCTGTATAAAATAATTTCTTTAAAAAAAATAAAAATAAAAAACCTTACTGACCATTTTACTGACCACAAACTTTTGAACAGTACTGCAAGAATATTCTTTACAGAATTTTTTGATGCATCTCTAAATATTAATTTAGTAGTCTAACTCAAAATCAGCAATTTTGCACTGCAGTACATCTAAAAAAAAGTGTGTTGCATCTGTTTTGACAGGATTGATGACTCAAGAAAGCAAGTTACTCTCACAAACCCACTCTTGAGCACTGTGGCACTGAAAGAAGAGAACACACTCTTTTATCACCGGCCTGGCTGGTTCATGAGCATGTTTCCTCTGGTAGGATTTATCAATGACGCATTTCTTTCAAGGCTCGGATGTGTGTGTCAGGGTGGTATGGTTGCACCCTCTCGAATGGATAACACTTTGAGAGGAAAGCAGGGCCTCTTGGTGCTCTCCGCCTGGGAACAATCCTGCACTGTCAGGGAGGCTTGCAGGTGTCTGAGGGTGTCAGCTGGCCTCTGTTTATTATTGGTGGACTGTGCTATAGGAGGAATCCCAGGCCATCACTAACAACTATGTAAATTTGTCGGGGTAATGAAAACACGACCTGGATGAGAGGAATGCTAGAGGTCGGTGTCCTTTTTTGGCAGCCCATACCCTTGTCCCTCTTTAGGTGTTCTTTGGGGGGGGGGGTTCTTTTTTGCTTATTTGCCTTGGACGTGACTTCACATAGTGGGGCTTGTGTAATAGATGCAGCGGTGAGTCCAGATGTGCTGAGGTGTTCTGCTTCTGTTGGGATCAGCCAGAATCGCATTTGGCCTTTAGAAAACTAAGAGGGTCTGGAAGTGCTCTACAGGGTCACAGGACTTCAAACAAAAGTCATCTAAATGGGCAACGTGATACACATTTTTTCTTTTCAGTCAGAACATAGATATTACACCACCTCTGAACTCACATAACCACCCACTTGAATACACAAAGGTGTATATATATATATATATATATATATATATATATATATATATATACACATACATACTGTATATATATATATGAAGAGTTCAGATGCAAAAGCCTCTAAGTGCCGTTTGAAATTTTCTTCTAAAATTAGATTTTTTTTCAGGCTCCTATGTGTAGGTTTAGTATTTTCTCTTTAATGGCAATGAATAGGTTATTTTCATTGCCATTAAAGTGAATAACTGAACATAAACATAGGAGCCGGAGAAAAATGCTCATTTTAGAAGAAAATTTCAAACGGCACTTAGAGGCTTTTGCATCTGAACTCTTCATATATACAGTATATGTATATATATATATATGTATATATATATATATATATATATAAAATATGTTGGGAAATATAAAAATTAAATAAATATATTATAGAACGAATTATATAATACTGTGGAAACATCCGTGTGTATATATAAACACATTTCTTGAGGAATTTTCTTGGCCTGCATAAAAAGAAGGCTGTAATTCTGTACATGTGATTTAAATTTGCCAACATATGCATGAAACTTTGGACCACAGAAGACGTAAAAATGTTTAATGTGTTTAATAGTGCTTCTTGAACAACTGAAGTGTTTAGGGGGTTTTAGAGTTTTTTTTTTACCCCAACCATTTCAAACCTGGTAAGCCTATCGCTGACAATCAGTGTGCATTTAAAATTGTTTTAAAAAACTCAATACAGGACACAACCACAGAGTGGCTACAACAAATTAATGAATAAATTTGGCCGTTTTTAACATCTTTTTTAATGTCTATGACAGACTTGCATAGTTTCTGTGAAAATGTATGCAATACGAATGAAAATAATCAAAAGATGCTGCTTCCTTTTTCTTATAATGACAGGGTGTGTCAGAAGACAGATGTCCTGGCACGGGGAACAAAAATGTACAACTTAACCATTCCGAAAGTCTGGTTGCTCATTTTGGCAGCTGGACATTCAAATCTGGATTTACTTTAAGAATTTCTGAGTTTTAAAAATAGTTTGATATATATTCGCAAGAAGAAACTGAGAGAAGAAAAGAAAAGAAAGTAATCAAAACTTGTTACCGTCGGACAGCAAATTCAAAGCAGGTGGTGGAACTGTGACAGGACTTTTTGGGAAATACAGAAATAGGATTGTGTCGAGATATGTGGTTGTGAGAAGAAAAGAATGTACGTCAAAAAATCCCAAAAAATAAAAAAAGGAGGAAAGGGGTCAAGATTTGGTTGGTTGGCAGCATGGTTAAGACAGCCCCTGCTGGTAAATGCTGTAACTACACAATTATGGAGGCAAAAATCATCTTTTCTTAGTCGCTGGCCATTAAAAATTAATCAGCTATTTTCCAAGCAACACATAAATTATACATTATTAAGGGGCTCTTTATAGCTGTATGGTAAGTTTTACTTTGATTTAATGATTAAACAATCTGAAAAAATATGCATGCTCATTCATTTGTAAAAGAAAGAAACCATGCATAAATTGCAAGAGGCACAGCTTTCAAAAACCAAATGCCTGTGCAACAGGTGGAACATGTTCCAGATTGAGTAAAATCCATTTGAATGCGAAGTTCAGAGGTCTATATTGATGAGGAGACTCAGTGTATCTACTGTCTAGGGAAAAGTGTCTTAAATTATGGGCATAGCTTAGTTATATTGAGAATTAAAGCTTCAAAAAACTAGCACCTGGGGTCAACAAAAGTGGCAGCACACAAATCAGCTGAGTTTAGGTCTCTTTTGAGATTTCCTACACCAATGTGACTCCATGCAGACAGCTTTTCCCAGCCGTGCTGCTACCACTACAGTCATTTTCCACATTATTTTGGCTTCCATGTTACTTTTGGGAAAATGTAAGTTTATCTGAAACATGTGCAAAGCAGCACTGCCCTTGGGGACTTAGAGATTCATATATGTGACCCTGTGACCTTTCCAAAGATTGACATTTATAGATTAAGTGCTCATCAATTTTATCAGACACTTTCCTTTTCCTAAGTCATAACATTTTATGTTTCTTACACATTGTGGGGTAGTAAAAAACACAGACAGGAAAAAAATATTACAGGTCATGGACTACTTAGATTTTCACAGTGCTCTGCTCTTTGTTTTTTGAGTGTGAAGAACTTCAGATTTATTAGTCATATCTTTAGATGGGCTTATAAAAGCTCCCTCAATCACAATGTTTAACATAACACACCTTTTATTTAAGAAGGCATTGAAAATCAGGCTTTCTTGTGTGAACCTGGATCCCTTTTGCAAACTAATGAAGAATTATCTTTGGCTACAGAGGAAAACAATATTGTTTGTAAAGCTTGTCTTTATTACTGAAGCACACCACCTGCACAAGCGCATGAAGTGAAGCAAAGCAGAGGTGAACCAGAGTTGACCAAACACAAGCAAAAATGCTAAACCTCAGATCTTGACAAACGCCTAAGCTCCTCCATTCACTGCATGAAAAACTCTGAAATAACATAATTTCCATGGTTTCATTAAGAAAGTGTATTTCACAATGGCAAAATTGGAAAACAAACTTAACCGCTCTTCCAT